TGTGATTTCCCCTTTACAGTATAATAGTTACTCCCACCACTTGTTTCCTGATATCATTAATTTGATTTTAAGACAAGTGGACTTTTAGTATGAGTTAGATAAAAAAAAACTTACAAACACTCATACTAAAAATAAATTAGTGATTGACAGGAATAGCTCCGGGTCTTCTACAACCCAAACTCTTTGCAAATCATGCTTATTTTAAACTCCATTATTAAAGTGGCCCAACTTACGGTTAGGCTTGCCGATGACGTCGAAGTTTCCTACTTCCAAAACAAAGTTTATACAAATAGCTATCCGCAGTAGCTGAAATAAGTAAAGGTTCACTTTTTAGCTGTAAACAACATTTTTACAAATCGTATGACACCCATTCCACATAAATAAAAAAAAAATATTTACATATGTATTTTATTTAAACAGGTTTTAAAATTAACCTGCTTCATGTATGTTTACTATTCTGAATAATAGGTTCTTTCAGAAACAAATTTAAAAACTAAAGATATTTCCAATATGATCTTGTTGTATATAATTACTGCCTTTTCAGAAATTAATTTTTTTTTACGTTTAACACTTTTTTCTTTAAATTAAACATTTTGCTTTAGACAAATGGTTTGCTTTTTCTGTTCTCTCTTAATAAAATGATTGTTTATAATGCGTATTTATTAATTTAAATACTACAAATTTCCAAATCTTACCAATACTATTAAGCCCAGGAATATACAGCCACAATCTAAGTAACAGCAGCAACAGCACGTATTTGGTAGTAAATAGCGATATTCGCAACACAGGAGTGTCCTCAGACATAAAAACAAACACATGATCAACACCTTACATATTAATTTACTTGATGCAGTAATTTTGTAAAATATAAAATAAACTATATAATTTAGTAGGGTTCGTTCAATTGCGGTTGCTAAGTATTAACAATATGCGGAAACTATTTAAAAATAAACAACGTAATTCATAATTGTATTGCCAGATATTTTCTATTGTTTGACAGCGTTCATCAAACCTATGTACTTAATGCAAATAAAGTGTATTCAACATAAAAATTTAACTAAGGAAACATCTCATTTGTGATTCATTTGTTTCTTAAAAGCTATATGAAATTACTATATAAGAAAACCTCTATGTAATAGCAATATACCTAATATATACGAAAAATCATAAAAAATATTTATATTTTAGAAAATTCTTCACTAACTATGTTTATTGTTCCTTTTTAAAGTAATTTATTTAAACACTAGCAGAGTACCCGTCCTTTGTACGGGGTTGGAATATAAGTATAAAATGCTTATTAAAGTTATACTCAAGCTTTGCGTTTGCAATAAGGGAGGACACAGTTTGATAAAATTAGGTTTTTTTAAATTTACAGTATTCTATAGTATTGCACATCTACCATTGTCATAATGTTCTACCGTTTCACCTAAACAATAGAGAAAAATCAATTATAAACAATTCGCAAAATAGCACAAATTATTCATGAAATGAAAAACATAAAACATAACTGTAAACAATCCTACTTTGACAGTTCTCATTGCGAATAAGTTTTTTGTTGTTGCTTAGTTCAAATTAGCTGTTATCATAAATGCAAACAAATATAGTGATGCACCCTGTTGGTAAATCTTATTACTTTTTATTCCTTTTCCATATCAGAGAACCAACTTTTTTAGTTGAACAGCTGACTAAATTCTTTAATTCACTTTAAATATGAATACTCATAAGGTTAACATGGGGAATTACAGCGCCACTGGGGCGGAGCCCGAAAGGATTTTTGAGATAAGAATATGCCTATATGTTAATTGGGAATGTAAGCTATCATCATGCCAAATTTCAGCCCAATCCGTCCAGTGGTTTATGCGTGATTGAACTTCAAACACACAAACAAACAAACAAACAAACACACAAACTTTCACATTTATAATATTAGTAAGATAAGATAAACATCATAGGATGATTTTTACTTGTATCTATTCATAATCTAGCCTAACATCGCTTTAATAAATATTTTAGGATCTATTAAACTAAATTAGTATCTATTAAACTAAGAAAATTTAATACGTTACCAACCACTTAGCTTAAAATATTAATATACTATTGTACAAAGACACCTTTATATAAACTATATGGCAAACTACGTCAGATCATTCGTTAAACCATGTGTGACTTAAGAGGCTGACAGTTATCACATTTAGGTAAATACGTGCTTAACTAGGTAAGATTTATCTAACTTAAGTTAAAACAGTTTTTTTAATGTCATTTGTCTATCTACAGGTAGGTACTCTTATATAATTTATAACATTCTTTATTTCCTGGTTTATCTGATGTACGACTTTAAATGATACGTTTCATTGAAAAGATTTGTCAGGTTTACCGAAAATAATAACCTGCAGAGACACCGGACAAAGTTATAAATACCACGCACTAAATGAATACTTCTCTCTTGACAAATAAAAGTTGCAACAATATAGAAAAGCTATGTACTAAGGATATCTAGATCACGTTTTTACTGATCTACAAAAAGATACCTTAGATAACGCATTTAATATTTGTTTATGTTCTCTTAAATCAATCATTTTTACTTTATTTACGTGTTATGATTAACTTATTTACTGTAATTTTTTGTTGAAAATGTATTTGAAAGAACGTTAAAGGGGTAAATGGGCCTCTGTGGTTAAAATATAAGGAGCTCAGTCGTGTTAGGGATTACACTCTGTAAGCGTTAAGCCTCTTACGGACATGAAACTGAATTATTATGTTACTTTTTAATACAGACTAGGCTTGTTAATTTTTTTTTTTTTCTAAACCAAACATTCACTATCGTAAAATTATAAGAGTTTGTAAGTAGGTTAATAACAGTATTGTTCATCTAACCGTTAGATGACTGTTGTTTTCAAATATTGATTGTTTCAAGAATATTTTTAACAACAAAGAGTATTCTTTACATATTTTTTAATTTTAAATATACAACTGTAAGCTGGTTAAAGTATGAATGAAAAAGTACGGGAACTATTGTTATTACTTGTACTTGTGATTTTATTTAGGTATTGAATATTGTTTGTTCTTTGGGTATCAAAGTAATCCAAATAAAAAAAAAAAAATGGTGAGGAAAGTTTCCCTAAAATACTCGTAGATTTTACTTTTTATCTTTAAGTTTTTAAAACGTGCTTTTGAAATATCTATAAGGAAGAGGACTAAAACAAATAAAAAAGCTTATTTCTCATACGTTGCTAGGTAAATTCAGAGCAAAATTGTTAACGTTAGTAGGCTACAGATCAATCGAAGGAACACTATTGCAATTAAACCAGGGTAAGCAGGATTTCTCTTAAGGATGAATGTGATGGCTGTGTAAGCAAACTATGGTTTGCGGAACATTGAATAATCGTTTTGGTACTATGAGTTTAATTAATAGTCAAAGGTTTAACGTAACTCAAGACATTATATTCCAGTCAGGTGACATAGTAATCAAATGGTTACCAGTTCAATCCTGGGAAACCACTAAATCGTTTTAATTTTTCAAAATCAGACCCAGCTTCCCTCGGTCGTATGGTTTTGATATGAGTCTGGTATAAAACCAGCTGATCTCATTCATTTAACAATAACCGTCCAAACACATTAATTTCAAAATATGCACAATGGTATAAGCGAAACATCTAATCAAATTATAATCTCATAAAGGAATAATTGAGGAATATTTCTTACCATTATTCCATTATTAAATTTGTTATTACTGAAAAGATACACGTCTTTTGATTTTTTTTATTATTTATTTTATAAAATTTCAAAATATAATGCAATGCTATGAAAAAAAGGTCACTAAATGAAAAACAATGGCTGGACTTATAGTATCTTTGTATTTTTTTCAAACATAGTTACCACATAAGAAACTACAACGTCAACTATGTTTTTTATTGTTTTAAAATTATTTGAGATCATAAGATTTGTGTTATTTAGTCATAAATATAATTTGTTTCTAGATATTGGGTATGGAACTTACAAAGGCCAAGATGTTTTCCATCGCCAGCAGAGAAAATATGGAAAAAACGGTATGAACTTTTATACTAATAGTAGTTAATTTTTCATTGTTAAAATTAAATTTAATGTTAAAGTTAATGCTAAGTTAAACAACAAACTCGGGGAGCGAGCTGGCGTAGTGGTTAGAGCGCGGGACTTCAGTCCCTGAGGTCCCGGGTTCGATCCCCGCCAAGTCACCAATGGATTTTATCTAAGTGATAATGACGCAACCCCTAGGTCTAGCCTAAAGTAATGTGAAAAACAATCCCAGGCTCGTGCCTAGTGTCCTTAGGACAACAAAAAAAGTTAAACAACAAACTCGTACAACATTTCTTCTAGGGGTAGGCTATATATCAAACCTTTTTTACTGATGCTCCCCGTTTTTCATTATTTTTATTGCTTATTTATTTTTTTACTATAAGTGTGCTAGACTTTAAATGAAGTTGATTAAATGGACATTTTATAAACAATCACTTTAGAGACTGGATCAGTTGAACATATTAGCTGGATTAAGACGTTTATCAATACGGATCTTGGTTTAAGTATTGTTTAAAATTCATGTGTTATCCTAAATATAAATTACATTTTTGATTTTTTATACTTTTTTTAATAGGTAGTTGCAAGTTCCACTTCCGTACAAGAACTTCAAACTCAAGAAGTCAAGCCCGATTTGTCCAACCCAAAAGACCTACTTATACTGGATGAACACTTAAGGTTAGCTTTTTAGTGGTTTTATAGTATTTAGCTTAAACTTAATATCCCAAAATCATTTCCCCATAATTATAAGTTTTTTTCATATATGAAGTATTCTAAAGTAGAAACTAACTGTAAAATTTATGTTAAATAATAAAGGTTTGGGATTTAATATAGGAAATACCAGTCTGAGATAGAATCATTTCCTCATTTATTTATTGACATTTTCTTAAAACCTGGTAAGTGTCTAATAAATAGATGATTTCAGGAAAAAGTCAAGTGCTATACCGAAGATGTGCAAAAGGTTTTGCAGATGTTTCTCCTTGGCTTTTGGTTCCTACATTGTAGGCTGCGTTACTGTGGTAAGGAAATCCATTATTTTATGCTCTAGAATGTGTGTAGATTGAACCATAAAAGCGAGTATAGTTTTAAAGAAGCAATTAAATTATAATTAGTTTTTTTATATAAATTGACATAATTATGATCAAGTGAAGTGGCTGGTCTAGTTAGTGGCTATATGAGTGGAGTTGAACAACTGCTTGAATGTAAGGTTTCGAATCCCACAAATCAAAAACTATGTTAAACTACTTAAAATTGTTCGTAAGATTATTATTATTCGTGAGTTTTATTATTCACAGGGAAGTAGTGTCGTCGGAGCTGTTCATATATTTGAAGAGTTGACTACGATTACTGATACTTGGATGGAATCTACAAGCGAAGGGGTTTTCGATTTCAGTAAGCTTCTTACAATTTTACAAAATAGTAGACTTTTTTATCAATTTAATACATCTACTTATCTCTGTGATATAGTGTACCTACAAATCCAAAGCAAAAAGAAAGAAACAAACAGACAATATGAAAGAAAGACTTTAGCAATGAATATTTTACTATTATTTTAGAAATTTGACCTTCACTATAGATGGATATAAATTTCAATGGGATACTCTGACAGGGTATTTTATTTTGTAATAATAATAATAATATGGAAATTATTTAATATTTTAGTTGGACTTAAGGTATTTTTTGTCTCTATATTTCACTTTGTTTGTAATATGTTTTGAGCTTGTACTTTATAAAATACTTATTATTTAATGTGACGTTATAAAACCTTCCATTGATACTTGCTAACGTTGACTCATGCCAAACCTACATATTTAATGTTGTAAATTGATGAGTATTACAAAGATACGTATAAAGTCTGTAACAATGGCTTTAGAGCATGAATGTTTTATGGTTTGTAGTGTATTTCTTTATTCTACAATTGTGTACTATTTGTTTTATTGTGTTTGTTTCAGTGACTCTTGTGGCATTGTGTTTACACACAGTACTGTGCGTTATTGGGATTGTCATTTTATACGGGTTGATTCACGTAAGTCAGTATTTTTCTCATTTTTTTTACTTAGGTAACATTAAAAAACAAATATATACAGGGTGTTCATTTGAAAACTTTCCATATCTGTTGTGTGCAAAGGTAAGGCTTTTAACACTTGTTTGTTCTCATTTCCCCCTAATTTGGACATGCCAAATCCAATAAAATTATTTTCAATTTTGAAAAATGCCCCAAAAGGGCCCAATTTGGGGGGTAGGGGTGCTTTTTGAGAAATTTTCAAATGTAAACATGGGTTGTGTGATACATAAATTTAAAGGTCTAATCACCCCGATCATTTTGGTGCAAAAAAAGTTTAATTATCTTTAACCGTATTTACAGGGTGGGTCAAAACGTTTTAAAAAAGGACTTTGAAGTTAAGTACCGTATTACCCTAACTACTGAACGGAACAGCGCCAAATTTCTTTCCAAGCTTATTCTTGAGCTACTCTTTAAGATAACTTGTAGTAAGGGCATTTTCCAAGTTATTTTCTAATTTTTAAAAAATCTCAAATTTTAAGAATAAAAGAAAGCTGAAAACTCAAAATTCTTAAATAGCAAGGTATAACAAATTTCATACCACGTGAAAGGTCCTTTTTTAACAAACATTTTACGTATTTAAGTTTTCTTTCTATCTCTTACCGTTTAAAAATTGCAGTAGAAAAACATAATTTTCTGTGGTAAAATTGTAACTAGTTTTCTAATAAAACAGCCAAAATTCGTCTCTAGACACATTAAATGGTGCAATAACTGAAGGAAACAATTCATAATTATTTTTAGGCAGATAGGCAAACAAGTCATTACGTTTTACTTTGTGAGAAACAAGTTTTATAGCTGATGAGAAAAACCCAAGCGTGGGTCGCTTTCTGTAGTACCATTGACTAGTCAATGGTAGTACTAATTTCAAAAGTACAATTTCCTGTAGTACCTAATCAAATATGGTGTAAACTTAAAAAAATATACTTTATTTTACTTATTGGTCATAACAAAAGTGTTCCAGGATAACTGCAAAGTGTTTAACAATAGATATCCAGGTATAACCTTGAGTCATATGGCTGTAAATGATTTAGTTAGGAAGTTTTCAGAAACTGGCTCAGTTACCAATGAGAAAAGAACAGGATGAAGGGTCCAAGATGAATTCTGACACACGCAAAAGTAGTCGATCAATTTGTTATGAATCCTACTACATCGTTGAACAAAGTGCAATGTGTTTTATTAGAAAACTAGTTATAATTTTACCATGGAAAATTATGTTTTTCCACTGCAATTTTTAAACGGTAAGAGATAGAAAGAAAACTTAAATACGTAAAATGTTTGTTAAAAAAGGACCTTTCACGTGGTATGAAATTTGTTATACCTTGCTATTTAAGAATTTTGAGTTTTCAGCTTTCTTTTATTCTTAAAATTTGAGATTTTTAAAAATTAGAAAATAACTTGGAAAATGCCCTTACTACAAGTTATCTTAAAGAGTAGCTCAAGAATAAGCTTGGAAAGAAATTTGGCGCTGTTCCGTTCAGTAGTTAGGGTAATACGGTACTTAACTTCAAAGTCCTTTTTTAAAACGTTTTGACCCACCCTGTAAATACGGTTAAAGATAATTAAACTTTTTTTGCACCAAAATGATCGGGGTGATTAGACCTTTAAATTAATGTATCACACAACCCATGTTTACATTTGAAAATTTCTCAAAAAGCACCCCTACCCCCCAAATTGGGCCCTTTTGGGGCATTTTTCAAAATTGAAAATAATTTTATTGAATTTGGCATGTCCAAATTAGGGGGAAATGAGAACAAACAAGTGTTAAAAGCCTTACCTTTGCACACAACAGATATGGAAAGTTTTCAAATGAACACCCTGTATATTATATAATATTAGTAAGATTGTTCAGCTTTGTATTCTGTGCTAGAGTGTGATAAAATACTATCTTTCCGGATTAGTGACTTTACTTGAAAGTTGTAAATTTTCCATTTAAGAAACGTTCCAAAAGTGTAATATCTGGGTGGCCCATAAGTCAGTTGACAAATTTGCATTTAATGAAATGATACACAACAAAATGGAATACATGTCTATTATTAATTCATAACTCAAAAACAACATATACTGTCGAGATGGAGGTTGAACATTCGGAAAACGTTCTACAAACAAATTGCACACATCACTATAACTATGGCCATGTTTTCACCATGTTTGCAAAACAAATACACGCTGTTCTGTTGTTAACTTTCTATTCATTGTTTATCGAATAACAATGAACACACTATCATGAATAACTATCAAACATAACCTCAAACTAAACAACAACAATTACTAAACACAACTCCCAACAGCTGTGGTATTACAGCTGTGTATGGTACCAACTGCTAAAATTATTAAAAAATTGCAAGCGTCAACTGACTTATGGGCCACCCAGTATATTTTTACTAAATGAATTCACTGATTTCATCGTTCCTCAAAACAACAAGTAGCTTTGTTAACAAATCCGACAGTTAGAAACTACAACGCTGCAATCATACAGTGGTGTCGGTTATATAACACAATGTATAACATAAATTATGCGTAAAATATTATTTGGCACATGAATTGATGAAGTCAGAAACCAATTTGCGAAAGAAAAAAAACAATGAAAAAATGCATGAAATTTTTAACTTGAAAATCTTTGAGGTTGATGTCGTACGGGATACTTAGCCCTAAGAATAGCCACAGTGAAGAGAAATAGTCCAAAAACGTTTAATTCAAAACTATTTTTTGTTTTGTTTTAGAATAAAATAAAATTAGTTAAATATGCATCGTTGGCTCTTCTGGTAGCGTCCATTTTTCGTCTAGTGGTCGCCATTGTCAGACTGATCGTCAGCCAAGACATTGAAGCGTTTTTGTTTTTCTTCGTAAATGGGTGTAAGTTGTTTTTGTATATATTTTTTCTATAAGTGCAACTAATTAAATGGTCATGAATTAAACGAAAAACTAAATAAAAAACATCACATATAACATTTTTGCAGTCTTAAAATGAAGAATCTTTTAATTGTGCTTTCTATAATTAAGCAAAACCAAACATACCTCATCTCTGTTTGATGTGCCAAAATATGCTTTATTGTCAACAAAATTATTTTGACTGAAGGTTTTTGAGTATGTAAGACTAACTGTTCAAACAATTTTAGAAGGATTGAGTGACACTTTTTGGATCAAGCTCAAGCTCAATTAGAACGGGTTAATCAGCCTGAATTAAAAGTACATGTTTAGTCCGTTTATCAATTTATTTGTAAAACGCCTACATGATTAACAATATGTTTCTTTATTCTGGCATTTAATTTGCATAATACGAACAGTATGTCAATGTTATTTAGATGTCAAATATTAATCCACCTACATGATTGTTATTTAAAACTAAAATTCTATAAATGATTTATTGTTTGAATGTGGATGTGGCGTATACTTATAGTGAAATATAAGATATAACACCTTAATAAGGATGACAAGCTTTTTTTACGTACACAAATGACAAATGTCTTTAGCTTAAATGCATTTATTTCAAACATATAAATAGCAACGTATGTGTCTGTATATGTCTGGGAAAGTTAGCACGATTCATTGAGTAGAATGAAATAAACTATTGACGAAATCATACACAAGCCTAAAGTTGTATGAAGCAAAGTCTGTCATATTCTTATATAGTTTCGTTTAAAGTTGTCTGCACTGGCATATAAACCTTTGTATCTTACACAATATGTAATTTCCTTACAGCGTTCTACCTTTATGGATTTGTCGTCATTTGGAGCTTTGCAGTCGATGAGGAGGAGAGCCAAAGGTTAAATATTCTGGCAAACTACGAAATAGCTCAAATTGCTCAGAGGTTTGGACATCGGTCGTCTATATGCACTCCAAACAATTAGGAAACCCCAAATGTAAATTGGTTGAAGGAATTAAATAAATGATTTGGTTTAAAACTAGTTAGAGAGGTATTTCATGTTTAGGTGGTATATTTTTAGTTTCAGTAGTGCAAGACTGTGGATACTATTTCCTCAGTTATATAACTTCAATGAAAACAAAATAACTCCTTCATTGATTCCTGTAGTAGTTTAGAATGCATTAGTACCATCCATAATTCTGCTCTAGTGGTTCACCCTTTGCTTTGCTCGATTCGTTCAACACATATAACTTTGAGGTTCAAATAGATTTAAGTTTTGGAAAAAAAGTCTAAAATGTTTTGAATTTGAGAGTAGTTATGAATACTTGTATGATTACGTATGCTAAAGGTATTGGCATTTTGGACTAAAGAACAACAAACAGTTTGGAGGAAAAGCAGTCCAAAATTCTAAATTTTACGCTTTATCAGCAATTGAATCAGTCCTTTTTACAATCGAGGTCTCAGATGTTAACCACTGGGGTACTGGCGCGTCCTTGTGGTTTTACAGTGCATTTAACAATTATGTGTTACTTTCCAAGAAAGGTTAACACTACATGTTAACAAACGATGATGATACAACTAACTTTACTTTAAAAAAGCACAACCCTCGAAAATTTATTTTGTTACCTAGTTTTTTAAAGTCAAGTAAAACTGCTTCTAACATAAAAAACAATTAATATTGGTCTAAGAGTTTAAATAAATTTAAATGAGAGCTATAAAGTGTAGTTATTGTTTAATGTTTTCTTATTTTGAAACCTTATACAACTTATTTGAACGGATTTAGGCCTGCATTGTACATTGTGCAAAAATTTACTTTGTACTTAAAACTGTTTACCAAAAACACAATGAAGGATACAAACTAGTAAAACAGTTGCTATGAAACAAGTTGGCTCTGAATTATAAATCAATAGTGTTTTGTATTTTGTCAGAAAACAATAAGGTACGTAATTAATGAAATAATTCTTTTATGAGTTTATTCCTTTAGAATAAATAAATATAAATAATATATTCTCTATGAATTACGTTGCCACGTTATGCAGTGCTCGGTTAAATGAAGGACGCGACAAGAAAAAAATTTAAAATAGTGTTAAAACAATGTAATAATTGTTTTAAAAAGAGGCGTATACTGCAAGATCTTATTGCCTTACATTTCCTAGAAATGTCTTATATGCTATTTTTACACAAACATCAATCAAACCACCTTCAAAATATTTATAGTTATAAGATAAAAGCGAAAAATTACGATTATATGATATAAACTGATGCCTTAAAGGAATTGGCATACTTTTTTAATATCCTGAAACAGCTATCCATAGTAATAGTTAATATAAACAAATTATATATGTACAACGAATGCCAACAAGTTTAAGGTATGGTTCTAGAAAACTAAATATTGCTACGTCATACTAATAATTGTATATGAAAGTAAGTTGTTACTATAGTAAAATACCTACTAAAATAAATAGAAAGAATCATAATTTGTGTTATGTTTTTGTCTATTTTTTCAGTTTATAACATGGGATGTTGCTGCAGAGTTTGCCTAAAATGTGGACATTTATTTTGTGGATGTATTCCATTACGATTTGCATCGTTCATTTCGTGTTTTTGTTTATTTGTGGGTAATATGTTTGCAGTCTATTAGTTTAAATTTCTGCTAAAATTAAAATCTTAATCTTTTTTATTTTATTTTATTTTGATTTAAAACTTATTAATTACTGTATTAAGGTTGTACCAACTCATTTCAAAATAGTCTTTTAAAATTAATTGAGGGAAATAGCTTGGAAATGTTCTTTTTTTAGGTGACTTCCTGTTGTGAAACTATGGGTGAGCTCTACCTTATCAAGCCTATGTTAGAAGGACAGAATAATGATCATCTTAATGTATATTTATGTAAGCAGTTCTTTGTTAATATTATTCAATTAAAATTTTTTTTAAGATTACGTAGGTTATGTTTGTGTAGTTTTCAGCTTAGTGCTTATTCATAGGAAACGTTAATGAACCAATTTCGCTTAAAATTTTTGAAAACTGTTTTTAGTGATATGGTTTGAAATTAGCTAAACCAGTCATGAATTCTATTTATAAGCTTTCTTTGAAATTGCAGTTATTGAATACTGTTATATTGTTATATATACTGTCCTAATGCATATTTTAAACTTATTAGTGTTTATATATTCATTGCATGTACCTTACATTAATATTGTAATTAGATATTTTAACATAACTAATTAAATGATGTTGAATCAGTGATAAACGTTTTCATGTTGAGCTTATAATATTAACCATTGTCGGTTCGATCATTCATATTTTTTAATCTGTTTTTTATATTTTTTTTCCAGTCATGTCTGCAAAGGTTATTCAATTGTGTATCGTCTCATTAGAAATGGTAATGACATTTGCAGTTTGGAAGGTAAGTGAGTATCATCACAATATACATTAATTAATTTCGTTGATCCGTTTGGTTAATGTAAAACATTACAAAATTTATTGAAAAAATATGTAAAAAAATAGTATGTGTTAATTTGCATATAAAATATAGCATAAAAATTATGTTTATAGTATGCAATTTAGTAGGTAGAATATTCTAAAAGTAAAATGTGTACGGATTGCTTAACATTATGTTAATCAAAAAATATAAAGAGTGATTTTTATGGGTAACAGTTTAGTAGATGTTTAAAACATATATTTTTAACTACGTTTGCCTTAAATTTCTTTAACGAAGTTATAGGCCTATTACACTAAATAATTCCACTTAATTCTTTCAGTATCAAAAATATTATTTAAAACCTTTTAAAAGCTTCTTAAATAAATGGTTACAAGAATTACTGAGAAATACGAATATCATTTGTCAGTCAACTTGCATTTAATTATATAATTGTCTATCCGTTCATCTTCATTGGAATTGTAATAATTTATGTTACTGATTCCAAATAGTTAAACTAACTAAATAATTATATTAAATAATGTTTCACCACAAGGTGTATTCCCTTTCTCTCATTGTTCATGAATATAAGGTTAGAATATGCACAGGTTACACACCATGGTAAAGTTGTATAGTGATAATTAATTTGTACTACAGTATTGTATTTATCTAAAAAGTCATTGTGTTTTAGGAATATGCCCAGGTATTGCAATCTGCTACAGTACTTTATGCAGTTTTTAAGGGGATTAAGCTCCTACTGTCTGCCATTGAATCGATTTCCGAGGGAGGAGGGTACTCATTTATAGTTACAAGTTGTGCCTCAGGTATGATTAAATTGCTTAAATATTTTAAATGAACAGGATGGTAAAATATATTTTTCCATCGTTTATTTCAACTTAATAATAAAAATACTTTTTGTAGTAAGTCAGTTTGAATCGAGGTAATAAATTATAAATTTTTGTATATATTAGGAAAATACAAATCAACCGTATTTGAACATGGTGTAATTTTTGCTTGGAGGTGAGGATAATACTTAAAAACATTATAAATTTACAATACGTAGCACTCTATAAAAGCTAAAACGTATAACACGGTAAAGTAGCCTAGACTAATTTGTATATTCCATTATTTCATCGACTTTGGTTGAGGCAATGTTTTTTTATTTTTTTATGAGATAAAAGGATTTGCATTCACAAAATTCTAGTATTATTTCGCTTATATCTTTTGATTGCCACTCAAATGTAATTAATACATGTTCTAAATAAATTGTATTACATTTTTATGTGCAAACCTCTTTTAACATTCCAGCTGTAATAGTTCTCTTGCCCATTATATGGAATTACCAGAGGCGACTCAAAGAGAACAGGTCTGAGACAACTGCTGAAGGAACTGGCACAGCTGAAAATCAGGGGGACAAAAGTTCAACCACGAAGAACAAAATTAGTTCAGAAATTAAAATTTAGTTAATAAATTACATTTAAGTTTTGATTTTTAACTATTCATTTTCATTTTGAGTTAATGCAAAAACAGGTATGTTTGTCAGACGTTAGTCACAAATACAGGAAAGAAAAGTGATCTCTAAACGTTTCAGGTGTCAATATTCAATTCTACTAAGCCATGGCCATACATTAAATGTGATCGCATATAAGAAATATTATTTTTACGGTTACTGCAGACATTTTCTTTAGAGAATAGTAGAATTATCGGTTTTCACTAGGTTTAAGGAAGTGTTCTCCGATCCATCGTTGGACTAGGTTTTTGTAATAATCTTGTAATTCATTAGGTACTTGGGGATTAAATTCTAGATTCCGCAACGCCATTATCTGTTACCAATAATGATTGCAAATGTGTGGTAACTCTTCAAAACACATAGATCTATTTAAACCAAACATGATGTAGAGAAAAATTTTTAATTTTGTTAAATACATTCCGTAACCAAGGTAGTATTTACAAATTATTTGTGTAGTAAAACATGTACTGTTATCCTCTTTCTGTTTACAAGACCCTTTAAAAATAACATCATCGTTGAAGTGATGTTCAAAAAATGCTGCTTTTGTGTGTCATTGAAGAAAGGAAGTTATTTAATTGGTGTATATGCTGTGGTAAGAGTTGGTTTTGTTTTCTATTCCTTAAACAATAAAAAAATTTATAAGCTAAGGACAATATAAAGGTATATGTATATATAAACCTAAAAATTTCATATCACTTTATCCTGTTGGATTTTTCCAATAGCTTTTTCGATGATATAACTGACAGAGCTTTATGTGAAGGTTTATAACAAAAAGCTCCACCACCAATTACTATGGTTAAGAGTACATACATTTATAATACTTAATTATCTCTATCGTTATAAAAACTATTTTCAAATGCATGATTGAGAATAGGAATAATGAGTTCTTGTAAAACGTTATCTTTTTTATAGTATAAATGTACAATGAGTTCTCTTTATAATTTACAAACATTTCGTTTGCCACAAAATTTTAAACAATGTATTCAAGTTCCATTTGATAGATAGTTTGGATAAGCTTATTCTGAAATATGTATTAAATGTTCTTATTCAAACAGCATCTAAATTATTTAAAATGCAATGACGAATTATCAAGTAAATACATATTTAACTATTAAATTGAAAATTAAAGCTTTAATAACTACTGATTCGTAATACTTTATCTTATAAAAATGTGTTGCCCTAAAATAATAATTGGTTCTTATGAATTTGTGAAAACACAATTGAATTGAAGTGATTTAGAAATGTTTACTTTTTAACGTACTCTATAGTCAAAAATACATTATTTTTACCATTCTTTACGTATAAAACAGCAAATCAGTAAGTTAACGATTTTGAAACAACATATTACTTACTCTACTTTCATCATACACAATTAGTTTTTTTAATGCCTTAACTTTAAAACCTCTAGCACACATCAGTTGTACGTTTTAATCAGACTACCCCAATGGGGTCGTGGTTAATCACTTAGGTAAATTCCATCGTTGAATAACAGGATTTGAATCCGGGGCCTAGGAAACGAAATCTCGCACTCAAACACTAGACTATGTTTCCTCCTGTACATTTGGTTTTGTTTACTGTTTCCTTTACCAAAGACTTTTTAAATTAATTTGTTATAGATTTATATTACGTAGCGGATTCGTTTAATCAATTTTTATCTAGCAGTCTTCCAGATAGTTAACAATATTAAATTAGAATTCAATTAAAGAATTTATAATTTTTTCAGTTGGCTAGCCTTGCTACTATGCAATATTTAATATACGAGGCTGAGAATTTAAGAAAGGAGGAAAATGAACCTGAAGAAAACCTTCATCAAAAACTTCAAAGAAAACAATGTAAGTATGAAACGTGTATGTAACGTGTGATTATGTATTGGTTAAATCAAAGCTTGATGGGACACGCTTCGGGGCATATCAGCTATACAGGGTGTCCCCATACAATCTATTTACCCTTTAAGGTATCATTCCTAGGCCAATTAGGAATTAAAATAACACGTTGTAAAATAACATATATGTAAGATTTTCAAATATATTTATAGATAACGAGTTAAACGAAACTATAGTACGGTTCATAAATAAGTAAAAGGAGGAATTTTAATGTTACTTGATACAAAAATACTTTACCTGACCTGCTCATTGGATATGTAAAAATCTAACGAGGTGAACATTCTAGCCAACTATCAGATATGCTATGGAAAACACATTGGTTGATAGGCTACACTGAATCTTAAAAATTGTTTTTTTACCCTTATTTAAAAACTGTTTTTTTTTTATTTTGGCATCGAAAATCTTGTAAGAAGATTGTCTAAATAAAAAATTACCGCAGCAGTTTTGTTTACCTATGTAGTTTTATTTGATGTCAGTTTACAAACTTGAAACTGCCACCTTTTTTTACTATACATTATGTATAAAATAGGTTAACACTATTTATTACAATAAGTCTTTTCGTTATTAATCTATGAACTTTGGTAAAAAAAAAAATTCTTATCTAAATATACATTTTCTTTCGAAAAATCTTAGATTTGAGTATGAAACATTTTGAGTGTGATATTTTAGTTTGAGTTTGGTCCAGGAATTATACTTCAAAATGCTATTTGAGAGTTTGGGAACAACCTATTAAAATTACTAAGAGCAACTTTTCTAGGCAGACTTTAATACTAACTTATTTACTTTGTGGTTCGTTAATCACATTGTTTGCAGTTTTTTAGATTACCCTAAGTAAAACATAGAAATGCCCGTTTTACGTGTCAACTAATTAGTTATAAAATGTATTATTAAAATAATTGTGTATTATATGTAATTAATAAAACAATTGTTTCAGTTTTCGTCATCCTAATGGCCTGTCAAGTTTTTAAGATCTGTGCTGGAATAACTATTGTGTTGGCTGTTTGTAAGGTTAGTTTTTTCAGTACTTTGAAACTTTTAAGACAAACCTGTCGAAAGTGTTTTAAAAAGGAAAGAACATAATCCAAATCTCCTTAGATCTTACCAAAACCAAAAGTCAAAAAAGTTAACTTTTTATTTGGCTGTTGCCTTTTGTTCCTGAAGTTACAAAATATTCAACATATGTTTACAACATATATTTGTTCTTCTAGTTTCTAGGGTACATTTTGCCACATTGAGGCATCTTAAAAGAAAGAATTACATGAAAAATAGTGCCTCACAAACGTATAAACACTGACGGTTATGTTTTTATATTAAATTATAGTAACTCCTCAATGAGGAAATGTACCTTAGTACATAGAAAAACATCAACTTTAAGAACAAAAAGTAACAGCCAATAAAAAAGGTAACATTAATAAAATATGCTCTTAAAACTATGTAACAGTATATAATTTTATAAGTCAATGTACTTACAGTTTTTTATACATTATCTTGGATTTTAAGTTCGGTCCGCTTTCAACTATGGTAGCTTGAACACATAGAACGGGTTAAAAGTTATTTTTATTTACGATAAAATTTGTTTATAGAACAAATTGTTGCATACGACCTTTGTTATATTATTTAACATAATAATATGTTTTGTTATGTATTTAACAAAACTTAAAATATTAGAAACTAACCCTAAAATACCAAATAAAAATGGAAGAACTAGATAAGTAATAAATGCTACCCATAAATTTAATTCGTAATCATTATTTGCATTAAAGTATTCATAATAAGCAAAACCATAGATTGCAGTATAATGAACCAAAGAGTGTACACATTGAACCATATACATGAAAAAACTTAGGAAATTTTATAATATTTTTAAATATTTACCATCGTTCAAGATGTGCTTAGTCTTCATGATAAGTAATAATTATTGTCTAAGCTATTGCCATGTATTTTCTAAAAAGTCCCATTTTTCATGAGAAACTAATATAACACCATAATGGGTGTACTTTTAGAATATTTTAAAGAATAAAGCTCTTGTATTATTAAATAATTTTTTAATTGCACATTTTCACAAAGGTTTTTCAATATTTGACGATAAAATGACCATTTTAATAGTAAAACTTTTGACAGGAAAAGCCAAAAGTGTTAATAGTGGCAGCTGTTTCATTCTTTTCGGTTTTCGTCCATGCACTTATTGTAGAATTCATAAAGTTGGCTGCCACAGGTAATGGGACTAAAGGGTTGATTTCAGCTGCGCTCACAATATGTAAGTATCCGATTTCGCTTTCTAGTGATAAGATAATTTTGTAATTTTTTACAATTTGGCAAAATAAACAAAATAGCAATAACATTTTCTTACTCTCCCAACTTAGCATTGGGTTTTTTATAGTTGGAATGAATATGAAATAGTTAAATATAAATATACTCTAATGTATTAAACAGTTGTAAAATATAACAGTATAAAGTAATAATATTAATTATAGTAATAATATTATAAATAAAATATTATTTTATTTTATTAAATATTTATTCCCCGAAAGAAATAAAAGTACAAAAGTATCAGTCTTATTGTACTGTTGTACAAAAAATTACAGAAATTATGCAATCATAAAATATTAAATCGACAACAAACAAGTAAAAACTGTTTTTACTACGCAATAATTCAGGTTATTTATGTACAAAGCATGTTATACTAGCGTGGATTTTTTTAAATTTATTTATTTCAGTTTTGATTCTCTATTTCACTTTGATTCTCTGGAGTCACGCCCAAGAACTAATAAAAGAAGAAGAATGGGAATATTATGATGACGAATCAGTTGACCAGGATCCTTAAGGACATCAGTAAACTATTTACATATTTACGTTACAGCAACAACACCATAAACGAATGTTGCACTTAATAAATTTATTTTTATTGCAAAAACCATACTGTTACTGTAAACTGTTATATGAAATTACCAACAGCAACTGACAGAAAACAAGTCTGAAATAAATATAACATGCAATGATCATATAAATGTGAACGTCTGTATAAGAAATGTTGTTTTCAGTGTGGAATTTTTCCTGGAGAATTATAAAGTTATCAGATCTTTCGTTGGGTGGGATTTCCGTAGGTTTACTAGTCCTGTAATTTGTTAGGTGTTTTGAGAACAAATTATTGTTTCGGAAATGCCATGCAAATGATTGTTGCCAACAATTAGTTACACTGTAATTGGTAATCTCAAAATAAAAGAAACCTTCTATGTTCAAGAAAAAAACTTCAAACAAAGAATAATAAGTAGATGAAAATGGATTAATTTCAACATTCTATACCGTTACCTAGGAAGTGCTTAAAAATTATTTGTGCTGTACAACTTAACGTGGACTTCTTCTAATGAACAAGATGCATTAACACTACATACAGTATACTCTGAAACGATGTTCCTATTATGTTGTTTTTGTGTGTCATTGAGAACAGGAAGTTTTCTCATTGGTTTATATGCTGTGGTAAGAGTGGGCAAACTAAATTAGATATTTAATCATTTTTATTTTGAAATCGTACCAAATCTAATGCTTTTATATTTTTAAACTACGGTTTAGGTATATGAAAATCTTGAATATAGGCCTACCTAAGAGAGTATTGTGTAAAAGCTGTGAACAAATCGTAAAGCTACTGTTGAGGATTTTATACAGGGTGATTGGTACTCAATGTGACACAAATTTTTTGGTGTAAGTAAAAAGTAAATGCAGTATGATGATGCATATAAAATGTTCCAAGTCAAAAAATTAGCTTCCCAAAGAATTATTTTATATTTTTCAAAATATAACCATGCTTTTAAACTTAATACAGCTATTTCTCAATTACCTGTAAATGGATTTGAGTAGATACTGTAATTTTCGTGTTCTACATTACATTTTGAATAAGAATAATACAAAATGACAGAGGATCAGTTGTAAAAACTTCATTGTAAATAGATTCAAAGATAAAAATTAAGATGTTTGATAAACATTTAAAAAACATTGGTCAATTGCATTTGTTCACACTCTGCATACAAGTAAGTGTCGCAATATGTTAAAAATTGCGGCATTTTATAAGCTTTCCAAACATATGCATATTCAGTTTGCGCTGAACCAACAAAACAAGCATCAAGTCTTGAAAATAATATCAGAGTCAACTCCTTAAACTTTTAGTCAAGCCACAAAAAAAACAGGAGCTGAGGTCAGAGGATCAAGGGGGCCAGGCAATATCCCCATTTCATGTCAAGGGAAGAAACGGCACACCAAACCATAGCTTTATTAGAGTGAAATGGCCATTCATGAAGTGCTTGTTGACCGACCAATATCAAATATTTGCTTATTGATATGTCCCGTTAAGTGGAAATGAGCCTCATCGCTAATCCATAGGCTGTGAATTAGCTCTGGGTCATCTTGCATTAGCTGAAGATGAAGCATGTGCTCACAAAAAGTAATGCAAGATCAAAAATCACCCATATTATAGGCTTGCACAACCTGAATTTCGTACGGATGCATGTTAAGATCTTAATGCAAAATTCGCCTCACTTTTGGCGCGGAAAGTCCAAATGCTTTGCTAAGCCGTCGGCCAGATCCACAGGGACTTCTGGCAATCGTTAAACTGATTCAAATGTTTCGGGTGTCCGCACAGTTCTGGTACTCCCACATCTTCTTTTTGTGGTTTGTCCCGTTTCTTCCATGTTTCAGCCCTGAATTGCATGTCTCGATTGAACTTGAGGGGGCAGACCAAAATGAATGCGCAAGGCCCGATGTGGTGTACGCACATAACTTTTACTGTTTTGATCAAATGACTTGACGGCAAAACCCCGCTGTGGTCCGGTCCAACGCTAAAGCTGTATGGCAACTAAACTTCCAGAGGTTGGGAACCCAGGGTAACTTACTCGGCCCCTTTCCTTCTTCCCCTCTACTCACTAACGTTATAAGAAAATAGTCCGTTTCACTGACTCACCCTGTATAGGATTTACATTTTTTTCTTCTTAAGGATGCTGGGCTCTAGGCTGGCACCGTTTTACACATTATTCTGGCTAATTTAAATTTGTTGTGGCATTATCACTTAGTAAAATCCATTCGTAAATAGTATCATTGAAACCAGGACCTCACAGACCAAAACCCTGCATTCTACTAGAATAGCTCGCCTACTGTACATTCTGTTTAAAGTTTGCATCGACTAGAAACCTCCCCCCCCCCTACTGAAGCTTTTTATTACCTAATTAATTTTAATTGTATAATAGCGCAATTGTTTCAATCATTGTAAGTAATATTTTCCCATAATCTTCTAGTTAGCTAACAACTTAACACAATGATTTCATAAGAAATTCACTTTCAGATATCTAGCATTATTACTCTTGGGTATTTAATATATGAGGCTCAGTATTTGAGAAAGGAGGAAAATGAAGATGAAGAAAACGTGAAACAAAAACGTCATGTAAAACAATGTAAGTATATAATGTGTACACCTGGGTTCGAAGCAAGATTGGTTGGTACATTCTGGGCTTATCAGCTATATAGGGTGTTCCCGAACACACTACTAATCATGGACCATTCAATTACCATTCAATAAATTAAGGTACCATTCATGGACTAAAGACAAATTGAAATATCAAGCTTAAGATTTACAAAACTTGATAGATTAATAATGTTAAACCCTATATTCAAAAAAAACTTTTCACGATTAGTTTAAAAATCGTGGCTGTTTATTTTTTTTGTTTTAAATAACATAATCTACATAGGTGATAAGGGAGAAAAGGGGATTGTAAGATGTTTTATGTAAGAAATATGCACTCATTGCATAACTAGCAATTAAAACAGCTGATTGTTTTAGCTAACTAGGAAGGATGTAACCCAATGAACACAGGTATTGGGTTGATATATCGTGTCCTAAAAATGAATTGTCCCTTTTATAAAAAAAATTTAAATTAGTATCGACAAAAGTTAAACAAAATTGTCTAAATTAGTCACTGCTATTGTATTTTTGTTTAACTGTGTAGTATTTATCTTATTCAAACTTTAAATGTTTTAAAAATTACCTACCTTATGTTTTCAACTAAAAAATATGAAAATATTTTGTTTCTCAAAAAAGTTTTTTACGTTAGTAATCTATCTACAAATTTGTATTTAACTAAGACTATTGTTATCTAACTAAAAACGTTTTGTTAAACAATGGTGGCTGTACGTATGGGTAGTTTTTGAGTGCTCAAAGTTTTGAAAATGATATTTAAGTTAAGTCTTAATTCAGGAATGAGACCTTAATAGATCGTACGAGAAGTTGTGGACACCCTATATATTAAAATTAACTAAGAGTAGCTAACTTAGGCATGTTCAAGCTTTAGACTTCATCACGTCCACATTAACTTTACCGTTGATTGTTCACATTGATTAAACTATTTTGTGCAATTCTTTTAACACTTCTCTGAAATATGAAAATATTTTTGGTATGTTAACAAAGTTCGTTATAACTTTGAACCGTTTAAAAAATGAAGTTTAGTTTAAACATAATACTCTGCAAGGTGTTTTGTATTTAAGTATTTGCTGAACATTTGTTACAAATTTTACATATTTTAAAAGATTACTGCATTTTTTATTTATTTGGAAATATTGTTGGTTATCGAGACCAATTTGTAAATGGAATGGTCTCCAAACAAAAACTATTGTTTTAAACTACTGCTAGTTTTAAACTAAAAGATTTTATATATTAGATATCGCTTTATGAACAAACATAGTTAGCGGGCAATAACTACAATACTTTAACATTAAATTAACTAAATTGAGTTAAAACTAAAAATTGGGTAAGTATAGTCTTAAAATGTATTATTAAAAGTTTATTGATATTTAATAAAAAAATAATTCTTTCAGTTCTTGTTATCCTTTTGGTATGTCAAGTTTTGAAAATCATTGCTGGACTGGTTATTTTGATGGCTGTTTGGAAGGTTAGTATGATTAATACCTTGCAACCTTAAAACAAACCCACGCTTACAAAGGGCTTCAAGGATTAAACTTTATCCTAAACTACAAAAACATTTATTATTACAAACATTTGACATATTTCCAGTAATTCGTCTATTCTCTATAATTTAAATTTCAAAACGTTATTTACTATGGTAGCCTGAACACTTTTAACACGGTTTAAACTGATTTATGCGCACCAAGGGATGATTGAACCATTATATTTGATAGAAGTGTTAAACAAAATCGAAAACTTAATGCTAATTCAAAACGTGAAGAGGTATGTGACAAATAGTACCTATAAATCGAACTTATAAGCATTACTTGCATAAAGTCTTAATTATGAGGAAACTATAGATTGATGTTGGACGATGGATGAGTGTACGTATTAAACAAAAAATATATACACAGAAAAACTTAGAGAAAAAGGTATCCAATTTGTATATACCAAGTATCGCTAAATTAATCCGAAACAAAAGTGATAGATCTTCATGTTAAATAATAATTGCACCAGCTATATCAAAGCTATTTTGTCAAAACCTAATCCCAACATTTTCGTTTGAGAATATATATTACTTAGTGCGCATTTTTACAAGTTAACTGTACCTTATTTGTTTTTAAATATATATCTTTTCTATATTCAATTAGATTTTTAACTCCAGATTTTACTCACTGTTTGTATATTACTTACTTAAAAGTCTTTGTTTGAAATAATTTGTTTAACATATGTTGTCAATAATAATTAAGCAATGATATTGAAAGTAAACAGGATTTTGAACTCTTCTTATTAAATTATAGAAACTCACCTGTTGCAAACCTGGACTATTCACCTTCTCAGCTTTTAAACAGCAGACACATAAGATCAAAACTACCTATACCAAACAGTTATTTACAGCCTAAAACAGTTTCTTTTGAGGTACATGAAAGCATAAATGAAAGCAAAAGGTATCAAGAACAAATGTATAACAGATCAGCCTTGAAAAAAGAAGATGAATTCCAAGTTGGAGAAGAGGTTTTAGTACAGGATATTAAAACCAAATTTTGGAATCCTGGTGTGATTTTTAAAAAATTACCGGAACCTCGTTCTTATTTGGTAAAATTAGAAAGTAATGTTGTTTTAAGAAGAAACACACACCATATAAGAAAAATTAAATCTATGTTAAAAAAGAAGGACAGTCAAGACGGCTAAAAAAGGGAGATGTTTGTATATTACTTACTTAAAAGTCTTTGTTTAAAATAATTTGTTTAACATATGTTGTCAATAATAATTAAGCAATGATATTGATTGTAAACAGTTATAGAATAAAGAGAAACAACTTGAATGTTAAAAAATACTTTTTACTTTTTATCAAATTAAACACTCACAATCACCATTTTAATAGTGAAATGTTTGACAGGAATTGCCCAGACTGTTAATAGCTGCAGCTGTTACATTGTTTTCTGTTTTCGTCTTTCAAATTATTGTTGAACTCATAAGGTTTGCCGCCTCGGGTATCGGATCTCAGGGGTTGATTTCAGCTGTTCTCTCGTTTTGTAAGTATATTGACCTTACTCTCTTCAAAATAAGAATAATGTGAGTTTTTCACCAATATGCCCTTTAAAACTATTTAACTAACTAGGTGAGTCGGTGGCTCAGTTGGTAGCGTCGCGGCCTTTGGGCCCAAGGCAGTAGTGTCGTGGATTTGGATCCTGGTCACTGCCACAAACTTTTATCAGTACAGTTCACCTTTGTACTGTACCGGTTCACCCCTTGCTTTGCTGGATACGTTCCACGCACAGATCTGTAGTCTATGTGGACGGGCAAATGCAAGGTTAAAAGAGGCCGCCAACCTCTTAAAAAAAAAAATCTCTCTTTCATTAATTAAAACTCTAATTAACATGATCATTATTTACATAATATTAATACTATATGGTTAAATAGAAAAACATTTTCAAGCCTTATTTAAAAGGTTTTTAAAACCTAACAATGTAAATCAAATGCTGTGTTCAAGATATTTATTCCATGAATTAAATTAAAAATAACATCAACAGTTTTCACAAATCCAAAAAGTTACCACAAGGCTTTATAATTCACCAGAAATGCATTTTAAGTGAACATTAAATTCACAGGAGAGTTTGTTTGATCTTTTTATCTAACATTGCCAGGTTCTAGCCCGGGATTGTTTTTCACATTGCTTCAGGCTAGGACTTGGGGTTGCAGTTTTATCACTTATATAACATAAATAGGTTATTAGCAGAATTTGAACCCGCAACCTCTAACACTAGATTGGCTCACTCCTCATAGTCATAGAACGGAGATAAACGTTTAACTAAATACAGGGTGAATCCCCCCCATCTAATACTTTTCCAAGTAAATATATAGAGATATCCTTTTGGGGGTCGTGCAATCTTAGCAGGAAGTTTCATTTTGTGATTTTGAAATGTTTGAGTGTCCATCCAAAAGGGGGGATTTGGGGGTAACTGAAATATTTTAAATGTAAACCCCCTTCAAGTGACACCTCATTTTAATGTGTTTACAAAAGCTTAAAGAATGGTGAAAACTAGAGGTCGCTATATCTTCTCTATCCAACATGGTAGCCCATGAAATGTTGTGGAAAATCAATGGTAAAATTGGTTCGTAATGGTAATATTGGCTACCATTTTGGATAAAGAAGAGATAGCGAACTCTGGTTTCACCATTCTTTAAGTTTTTGTAAACACTTCAAAAGGAGGTGTCACTTGAATGGGGTTTACATTTAAAATATTTGAGTTGCCCCCCAAATCCCCCTTTTGGGGGGACACTCAAAAATTTCAAAATCACAAAATGAAACTTCCTGCTAAGATTGCACGACCCCCAAAAGGATATGTCTGTATATTTACTTGGAAAAATATTAGATGGTGGGGGTGTCTTGACTTTTTATTCACCCTGTATGTTATATTTATTTTTAGATGTTTAACTTATATCACAAGTTCAAGTTTATTTCAGTTTTGGTTCTCTATTTCACTTCAATTCTCTGGAGCTACGCTCAACAACTGCTAGAAGAAGAAGAAGTGTTTGATTATTATGACGATGAATGGGACGACCAGGATCCTTATGGATATCGATAATTTATTGACATGTTTACCTTACTCCAACAACACCATAATAGAATGATGCACTAAATAAACATATTTTAATTACAATAAACTATATCACAGCTGTGAAAATGTATGAAATAACATTGATAGCTTGTTGCTATGTGCTGAGTTGAATCTTTCTTTGTAAGTTTTTAAAAATTTAAAATGGTTTGCACACTTTCAAAATGCCTGTTTTGTGTAAGTCTGCGCTTGGCCAGTACTCTAATAGGTGTTGCAGGCTCTGTAAGTAACAATGTCATAAAAAATTATTATTTTGTGAGACATTTGATTACACCAGACTAATATTTTACAATCTTGACATGTACATGATTGGAAGAATGATTATGATGGATTATGTCATTATAATATTCAAACATTATTATAATAACAGCATCACCTTTTCATTGTTTAATCATGAGTTGGACAATGGGTACAATGAGTGTTTTGAAAAATTTAAGTTATTGGATAGCAAATTGTTGTTTCTACCTTTTAAAACCTAGTATATAAAAACACATTTACCAAAACTAGGTTTAATGAAAAATGTATATTTTATGTGTGCTTAATTTAGGTTTATAAAAACGGTTTACACCAAGAGGAGATTATTTTGGTAAATATTTGTAAATAAATATACATTTTCTTGTGAATCAGTTTTAGTTGTATTCTGGGTTTACCAAAATGTCTGCTAAAATCACATGTCATGTTAGCATAATGATTATGTTGTGTTTCTGTGATTCATTGGGAGATAATCTGTATGAAAACAAGACTACTTTATATAATCTTCTATTGTGCAAAATCCTTTACAGATTGTATCCGTAGTTTGGTTGGCATATCTCGTAGTAACCTACAATAATGAGTTGGGAGGAGATTTCATATTGACGGGTAGAGAGTTAAGGTACCACCGGTCATGTAAGTTTACTATTAATATATGGAAATGTAATAACGTTGAATGCTTAAAGACATCATTATATATTTAAACATATCTTCCGTTTGCCTGTACTTGTCGTGTATATATGGCAATGTTTTATCATTAATCAACTCAAATAATAAAACTAGCACATAAACAAACTTCAATATAGGATTCTTTAAGATTACAGTAATATGATTTACCATAAACAATATTGCCTATTTATAAAAGGAATAGCAAAAAATTCCATAAGAAGAAAAAAAATGTTGAAAAGATAAATTTCTCTCGAAATAATATTTTAAAGGTTTCCCATAATTGTATACTGGTTTACAATACTTCAAGTGTGTTTTTTTTTTTTTTTACTAGACATGCCTTTGCGCACATCTAGCTTAAGATAAAAAGGAAAAAAAATGCTATAGTAACTATTTATGATGAACTAAGAAAAATTTTTATTTTTAATTGCTCATTTGAATCAGAGGTGATTCTTTTGTATCATAGTTATCTACAAGTAACTGGCATTCAGATTTTTATATGACTGTATAACCTTTGTATATACAAATAACATAATTAAATCATTATGTAGGGTTCAGGTTTCTGGTGCTGTTTGGAATTCTAGAAGCCTTGATATCTGTTGTGGTGATTGTGGGAGTTTTGAGGGTATTTACCTTTTTATTATCTTTTTTCTTATAATTTTAATGCTTTATTATTATGTAGAAAGAATATGAAAATAGGTTAACAGGGTTATTTTTAACCATAGGCTGCTATGTGTAAGAACTACTGTAAGTAAATGTCACTATAGGAAAGTCGATATTGCCGTAGTTGAGACCTAGACTTTAGGCCGATACACCTTTTTCATATTTATGTTTACATAGGCCAACAATACTGTTCGTTTAATTGTTTATACATAGATTTTTTAGTTTACAATTAAAACATCAGCTTGAAAACAAATCATTTTGTTATTGAAGCATTTTGCTACCGTTAAAAGTTATGAAAAAAATAAACTTTTCATTTAAATTTCACATGTTATTCTTTAAAAAACAGAAAACTGCATTACTTTGCTTGCTTATGGTTTTATGAGTAAAGCAAATTAGCCAAAATTATTTATTTTGCCCCATACTATTAACATTTCGCCAGAAACACGTATTACCTTCCCCGTAGCAACAAACCATAGTACTCGTCACATTGTGATTTAAAAGGAGAATATGTGTATATATGTCTTTTTATAGAAATATTTGGGTACAAATCCAGTCAGAAAACTGAATTATGCAGGTTGGCATAAGTACAATTTCTATAATTTCAATGTATTGGCAAATTGTTAAATTTAGTAAGTTAGTAATTTATTAAGTGTAATATAATGTAGTTATAGGTTTGGCCTTTTCAATCGCTTTTTTATAGTAAGATGACTTGGAAACGATATTTTCCAGAAAGCTGCTCACTACTTCTTCACGGCAGCAACGTGTCTTCTGGTTCTCGCCATTTTTACATGGGTTGAAGCAATTGTCAGATATTTCGTTGTGAATGAGAATAAATACGATTTAGCCATTTACTCAATTGTTATATGTAAGTATATATTCATATAAGAATATAAATTAAGATCCTACAAATAAAGATACGAAGAGTAAATAACATTTGGTCAATTAACACTTGAAACATATAAGAGAGCGTATTAGTGATTGATTTCGATTGGACACTCCAATAATTGTCATCACAAATATCATCATAATTGTCATCATAAATATGTCAACACAATTATTGTGTTGACATATTTGTGTGAACTTATTGTGCTGATTACACAGATGTTTAAAAAACAATGTTCATGTTGACGTACACAAAGCTTAATTTCTTATTCAAACATTCATAATAACTATGATCCTACACTCAAGATTATTTTCTAGTTAGTAATCTATTTACTTTTATAACTCTAGTTTTAGTTGTTCTCGCATATAATTTTCAAGAGGAAATTTTTCGTGTTTATTGTATGTATAATATTTTATTTCAGTGATCACAATATACTTTTCGCTCGTGCTATGGTCCTATGGTGCTGAACTCCGAGACAAAGAAGAGTTGGAAAAACGGAATGCAAAAGTTTAAGATGTACTGAAGCCTAATGTTTGTGGGTGCACTGTAAACCTTTGTCTATATTTAAATGTATTTGTGAATGGATTCATCTTATTTTATTGTATAAAGAGGTACATGTTACACTTAGTGTTAAAGTTAAAAAAGGTGTATTTCTGTTCAAGAGGTCTATGATACGTTCGTAATTTGTATGAGCACAATTTTGTAGATTATTTTAGGAGATTCGACACATAGATAATCTGTTGAATTAGTGATTACCAGGTAATTTTGAAAATCAAATATTTATTTTAGGCAGCAGATATATTGTAGTTATGTTGTAGATATTTTCATCAATATAAAACAACGGGTTTTGTGGTGTTGATGGAAAATGAAAAGAAAATGTTGAAAATAACCCAAATAGAAGTTTAGACAGTTTTACCAAAAATTAAATAAATTTATTGATCAATGTAACAAAAAGTGTATTAAGTTTTTTTAACACTGAAACAATTCTATGGCCGTTGCTTAGCGCTAAGTAACAAAAATTTTAAAATTTATCCAATAGGGTTTTAAATTCTAGTGGTAAATCATTCGTCGTATAACGGGGAAGAAAACTAAATACACATCAGGTAAACATAATCCAACAATAATCTAATTTTTAAGAGTGAGGACTTTTATTTCATCAATAATTCAAACTTACTGGTTTGTAGTAGATAAACACAAAAATATGTGGACGAGATTGGACATATTGAATTCATTTCACAAATGCTAAAGAATAGTTTCAAAGAGATAGTTGATATGTATATTATTTAAAAAATAAACAGAATAGAATACATTAGAACCTTACTATACATCGTAAAACTCAAGACGTTTATATCAACTATGTGAGATGGTAATGTAGTTTGTTTTTGATTTTATGCGAAAATTACTTTGTAAAAAGTAAAACATAGATATGTTATTTGTAATAACAAAACTAACATTTTACAATACCAGTTATGAATGTCAAGGATGCTTTCTGTTTGTAGTTAACAGTGATTGCTTTGATAACCTATTGTTTTCTATAATGCAAAAGTACATGGCATGCATTCAACAAAATATATGGTATGGCCCACCATAATATCAAATGTTAGAAAAAAATACTTAAATATAAGTCAAACATATCCATTCATAGATTCGAATAAATAACAATGATATAGCTAACAGAAAGAAAAAAGTAGGTCCTGTTACGAATAGAATTTATTACTACGTAAGTATATATTTTTAATGTTCAAGTAACACTGGGGTATTGAGTGTAGTCTTGAAGAGAAATAAAAAATTAAAATTAAAACTGATTCTAATTTTTCAGCTGACTTCTAACTCTATTTGATGGCTTTGCTAAGAAAATTCTGTTTCTTTCTTCCACTGTGGATCGGCTGTTATTTGTTTGCAGTTTTTCAAATTGTAAGTTAATACAAATAGTTTTTTTATATGTATAATTATTGGTCAATTGAAATTCTAGTATCATATTTCATTCACCATTTAAATAAATATTAATATTTTATTTTACTAATTGTCTTGAAACGAATTAGCAAAAGCTAACACAGATTTTAAGTCATTTGTGAGTGTATACTTCTACGGAGTTTCACTTTTAACTATACAAGTTAAGACCCCCATTAAAGTGTGCAATCAGCGGACGTGCCACATCCTAATTAATTAATTAGTCACTCTCTCCCTATAGATTACACGTATATGTATCATTGTTGTTAGTATTTTCTGTTTAAACGAGCTGTCAACTAAAACTTAAAGTTATGACAATATTTCCATTTATAATTCAAGTAAAGTTTAAGCGGTTAAACATTTATTGTAAACAAAAAGCTGCCAAGATGAATTAAAACATGTAAACATTGTTAGTTGCCTATTCTTTTCCCAAAAAGTCGAAAAGGAAAATAAATAATTTTGCATAACCTTTCTTTTGAAGGCTCGAGGGCAGAGCCTCAATTTGCTTAAATCATTGGTTATAGAATTTAATTATTTCTTATAATCAATGGCAAAATTACAGAATAATAAACTAACCTTAAAGTTCTATAGAATATTTTTACATTTCAATCGTAATATATTTTTTTTTATATAGTTAAAATAATTATATTGTACTAAAACAAACTAAAAATGATAAAGAAAGCTCTAAAAAATAACATCTAGCATGATGTTTACTATGTATAATTTAATAGTCTTTCATCTTCTTACTAAATAAATGAACGTATCAATGAGTATAGCATTACACACAGTATAAGTAAGTCAATCCTATGCATGTCATTATTATCCATATTCTGAATTTGTGTCAGAAACGCCTATGTTTCCAGCTGTTACGTTAAGCAAATTAATACCGAAAGCTAGTGTAGATATATATGATTTTAAATTATTACAAACTTTGTTGCTTTTACTTTATTTTACGTTATTGGTAGTTTTCTAGAGGTTAACTGGAAGAATGGACCATGATAAGAGGTCTTAATTATGCATCAATAAAGAAGAGTTTTCAATTGATTTACAGAACACTGGATCTCTTCAGAAATATTTTAGGCCAACTTCTAGTTAAACTAAATGATCAACCATAGTAATAAAAACTACATGTACTTATTAATTGGTTTGGAACAGAACGTACTTCAACCCAATATTAACTGTATTCATGAATAATATCTTATATTTCCAACATAAAGACCTAATTTCTTATTAACTTATATCATTGTTTTTTTAAGGCAAGCAATTTATGGAGGATTCACAAATGCAAAGAGATATTAGATCAATTGGGACCGGAGGAAAATGAAGACGACGAAAACATTGAGCAGAGGACCAGAGTACTAATAAGTATGAAACCAAAATACTGTATTTACATATAATTAGTAGTATATTTGGCTGCTTTTAAGGTTATTTTACGTTAAATTACCACAAGAACGATTTTTGTTTTTACACGATCACTCAGCATACGTTTAACAAACACTTTAGTAAAATATACTGTGTGAAGAAGACGTACTTTTGGATTTTCCCTGTTATGTATTCCTCAAGTGTAGTTTTTATCATTGAGGGACACAATGACTGATTGATATTTCTCAATTATATGCCCCCTTTGACAAGAAATAGACAAGAAGAATGTTTGAGAAGGTACATATTGCAATTATAACCTAATGTCAGCCCTTTTGAAAACGGTGTAGGGTTTTTAAATGTATCAACCTCCTTTATTGGATAGTACTATAAGTATATGAGGTTTTATTCTAATTTCTTGCTTGTATAGTTTGTCTTTCATAGGAAAAACAAACAAATTACCTCGTCTCTAAAAACAAGGTATATTTTATTGAATTGTTTCTCAACTATATACAAACATCACACTCCAGTTTGAAATTCGTCACAATTTTGTTTTAGAAATGTTTTCAAGTGTCCCACGAACAAATGAGAAACAATTGGCAAACATACAGTAAATTATGTTTCTCTGAAACATTTTAACAGTGACAGAGATTTTTTAATTGATAGCTAAAAACGGAGCCGTACGCGGGTTACTGCTTCGGTTTTAGCCAGTCCGTTCGCGTCCAACCTAATAGATAAAATTAATATTCTGATTCAAGCAAATCAACAGAATTCTAAAGCCATTGTAATAAACCCGATCCTCTACTTCATCTAATATAATCTAGATGCTAATAGTGAAGTGGGAAAATGAATTGGAGCTTATAAGGTGGTGAATTCACAAAAACACCTTTTTTATGATATGAGCAACATGTTTCCAACTAAGATCAATAATTTAAAAATGGTTTTCAGTTAACATACTCCGTGTTATTTCGGATGCAGTTGCCATTATGGTCTCTATTGGAGTTATTTACGCTACGATTAAGGTAAAAACTGTATATTTTTTACATTTTTTAATCTAGACGTATTTTTATAAGTAAATTCTGCTAAATTACTGTTCACTATTTATTATTTATATCTATACAAGACTACAATTACTTAATGAGCATTATATGCTTAATAAAAAAAATATTGTGTGTATTGCGAATTTCACAAGTGACCGAAATTGAAACATCAAAAACTTTTAACTTTTAACTTTTTCTGTTCCCAAACAATAAAATAAGAAAAAATACATAGATTTTTTGAAATTTTAATTCACGTGAATTGATTGAAATAAATCCTAGTAGGAAACACATTTGAGGTTGTCAATACTTCTAAGAATTTACATCATCTTAAAATGATGAGTGGATATTTAACTATTTTATTTTAGTTTTGCTACATTGTACACTAGCGTAGGATTTTCATGTAACTGAAAGTTATTTAGTGTATTTCGCATTATTCTAAACTGCATTACAGTTCTATATTTTCCAACTCTACCAAACCTTTAATGTTTGTTTAGAAAGTCTCCATAGTTCTAAAGGTAGCTGGAGTGTTTGTGGCCATACTACATTCCTTTCAGTTTATCGTCTATGGATTACCATATAGTGGGAAGAGGTGGCCATGGTTCTATGAACTACTACTTTTAGGTAAGTATGATTACCATAAGAAAATGAACTACTTGATTAATTTGATTAAGAATGCAACCAGCCATAATAATAAGTATATAATTAACCGTTGTTGAACCATTTGACATAAGTTAGTAAAATTGGCAGTTTAGTAAAATATTGTAACAGGTCTAGTTTGATTTACTCTTTGCCTTGTCTTATGAACCGTTAGGGGGAGCGGGAATGGCCTATCTCGCCAATGTTAAATTTCTTCATCTTTAGGTACAATTTCTTAAAAAGGTTAAAAGCTATGACCTTCAAAGGTGTAGGCTATAGCTATCAACCCTTTATGTGTAAACAGACCCAATTTCAGAATGTTCAAATAAGTATTACCTTATAAACTGTTTTTATATGAGACAAAAACGTTTACAAATTTCATAAGTCATATTTTTTTCTTGAAAACTAGCAATTTTACAGTAATGGAAATTGGTCTAAATATTACTTATAACCCAACAGTTATGTGTAAAAAAATTCAAGCCTCTAGGTCAATTAGTTTCAGGGATATGTGTATTGTGTACCTTTGTTGTAATAAAGTTGATCTTTCGGAAAACGCGGGAAAAAAGGGTACAACCCTGTAGCACCTACC